AACTTTACAACGTACTTACGCACAGCTCGCTCAAAGCAATTTTTTAGGTTACGCGGCCCAATAAATCTAGGCGAGCGAGTCGCTGTCGTAAAGGTAATACTTTGATGCATATTTAATTGGTACACTATATATATCTTCTAAGTAACATCCCGCCCGAGTAATCCCCGTTAATTCCTACTAATACCACGACAGACTTTGCGCGCCAAATTTCCTCGGTGATTCCCGAATCGAAATTTTATAACTACTTTCGATTCGAACTTTCTAATATCTGTAGGTTATGAAGGATTTAGATCTGTAATCCAATGTAAGTTTAATTTGGTTAAATATGGAAATTTTGGTCCTATTTAACGCCTTTAAATAGCAGAAAACACATAAAATACTATTAGTAGGTCCTAAAGAGGACTTCAGCAAAGTATTATAAAAATCTCCCGGGTTCTCTGAGAAAACCTAATCTGTTCTTCTAACCATATTGAGATAATATTTATTATTGGTTATTCAAGGAGATGATGTGTGTGTGTGCGTACAAAATAATATTGTATGAATGTACTGTAATAGAATTTAAAAATAGTTTGAAGAAGAAGAGATTTGATTTATTTATATTTGGTTTACTTATATTACAAAAAGTTAAGAAGAATTTAGAAGTATCACAATAAGAGCAACAAGCCATCCAAGCAGAATTTACAGACTTTAAATAGAAGCTGTAGATTAAATAGAATCAAAAGAGGTTATTATAGGCTTCGAAATATCTAAGTAGGCTTTATATAGAATATTGAGGTCGAAAGTAGAGCAGTTGCAGCTAGGCACGTTAAATAAAATCAAATGAGGTTCATATAGGCTTCAGAGCACCAAAGTAGAAATTGTCAGGTTGAAAGAAAGATCAAGACTTCCTCGAGTCGAAATTTTACATTCTATATTAAGTCTTCAAGTGGAAAAATAGAAATAAGTTCACACTTGTAGCATTAAAGGAGCGCAATAAATGATTCTTTAATACTACAAAGGGAATTTAATCCTTCAGATCTAAATTTTAGTTCTACATCAAATCTTCAAGTCCGAAGAAAACGGCAAATAACTTCCCTGTTTGTAGCACCAAAGGAGGACAATAGAAAATCTTTGAACACTTAATGTAGAACCAAATTAGATTTAAACTAGGATTAAGAAAATTTCGAATCGGGTCACTCGTTGATTATAAATGTGTCCGAAATTCCGAATGCTCTCGGCGACATCTTACTTTAAGGGTAACGCGGAATCGATTTCAGGTAGTCGTTCGGTTTCAGACATTCGCGTACTTCAAACGCATACCCCCTCTGTATGGACAAGTGGATTTACGAGCCGCGTAAGACCACAGCAACTTCCCCGTGGAGGAGATACATTTCGGTTAGCGGTGTTCTAACGTTAATCGAATCGCGCGCCAATCTCGTCTCGACGAGCCGACGATGAAGGTAACGGTAAACGGTCAGCTGAAGTTAGTTACAAGGTAAACCTTGCTTGCGACGCTTAATTGCCATCATAACTCGAGACAACTTAACCCCCGCCGCGGGGACGATCGTTATATCCCGACTGAATACCGCCCGACCAGCGACAAATCTCATTTTCGGTCGACGATTTTTCCGGAACAAACAACTGGAGAGCTTTGCGCTCGTTCAGAGAATTTAAGCTTTAAAAAGGCACGTCGAATAAAGTGCAATCTCGAATATTTGCAATTTCAGTTTTTAATCCAATGCGTGGACTTTTTAACGAGCAGTTGCTGAAAATATAATAGTCAGCATTCAACGCGAAGTTATTGAGCGAGTTTCAAAATAATAAAATAAACGCTAATTCGGCACGCGCTGTGGCATTAATTTGAAATGTGACGTAAATCCCAAAAGATTATTATATACAGAAAATAAAATAGGGATCTCTCTCTCTCTCGTGCAAGAAGAGCTGATAAGCTTCCGCTATAAATTTCTTTCAAACCAGAAATTAAAGTTGCCAACGTAATGTGCTCGAATCTCGATTTTAATTACAGAAAAAATTATGGGAAAGTGTGCGTATATCCGAGTTAAAATTTTAGTTCTACATTAACTTCGGAAACTTCATCGAACTTGAAGGTTCAATGGAGAATCTTGGGATATAACAGTACAGAAACTTTCCTGCTTACCTACATATAGTTACATATGATTACTCATTGTTTTTCTTTCCATATTGAGAGACTTAAAAATTAATGGCTAAATAAAATAACTTTCTCTTACCATAAACTTTGCATTATTTTTTATTAGCGTTGAAAATTTTGACGATATTTGGAAATCCAAAAGAAATGGAAAGAAAGTTCTAAAGGTAAACAGTTGTGTATTCAGAGGCACCAATAGAGAGTTAAATTTATATAAGAAGATTAACGGGAGACAAACGGAAGTGAAAAAAGCGTAGGCAGATTAAAAATGAGACCTGCAGCCTAATCAACGTTATTACATGCACAAATCGGAACTCGCGAGAATTATTTTAAATTTCGATCCAAGTATGCTTCGTATGTATTACATCTCGTAGAGGATTTTTATCGTTTAGTCTTACATGAGTCATTTTTCTAGGAAAATTTCTAGGATGTAAAACGTCCACACGAATATTTGAGAAAGAAAGAGAAGGAAGCATCCGCATTTTCGCGCAAAGTCTCGAGCTTTCCAATCGAAACAACTGGACTCAATTGAGTAAAAATAAATCCAAAATACACTGCCGGAAGTCACAATGCCGGAATCATCGCAGGTAAATAAAGCGTTGAGGTTGCATAACAAACCTGTATGTATAATGTATGAATTTACTCACTCGGTCCTGCTGCGCCTCCGCTACCTCCGGGCCAGATTCTCCAGCTGTTCCACCGGCGCCAACTCCTTGGCGACTTTTGGTAGCGGTTCAACTCCATCCAGGTAGAACACTCACACGAGAACAACACGAATGCGCGAGGAAAGGAGAACGCGACTAACTGCGGACGCGCATACTGTTCCTCTTCGTACGACGCGACGATAGCGATCGTAAGAACGACCAAATTATTCGGAACGTATATTCCCTTGTAAGTATTTACGTCTCTTTATATTATCCGATTTTACGAGGCGATATTACAATCGTGCTTTACGCCCGCTTCGTTCGGAATACGCACACTTCCGCATTCACGCGGAACGTTTTATTTCTGGTGGATGGAACAAGACGCGATATAAACGTAAGGGACTGCTTTTACTAATGCCAGAATCGTTGCGACGAGCCGTATAAATGGATAAGCGATTTCACGAGATGAACACGCTCTGTTTACGTGCACGTCCCTCACTGCGTGACTGGCCATACCGTAAACAACGCTGGAAATTGTGGCACGCGGAACATGTCACGCTACGAACGCGCGTTAAGCACCCGTTTGGCAACTCTTTATTATATTGATTATAAACCGCGCGCGAAATCACGATTCCGATCGCTTGACGTCATGATTTAACGACTTTCACTTTTCAACGACTTTTCATAAATATATTTTTAAGGACGTATAGATGGTGCCGAGAAAGATCTTACGCAGAACACTGTGTTGATTTTAATTTTTAGTATATGAAAATGCCGTTGCGTTATAAAGTTTCGTGAAACTCGACGAAGTAGACAACTTTGCTGCACTGAACTAAAATAGGTTGAAGAAAAGGTAAAACTAAACTAAGTTAAATTAACATCGTTAGTTTATTTTTTTAGTGTTTCACACGGAATCGATTTCGGGAAAATTTTATGAATGAATTTTCGTACAGTGCGAGACACAGTTGTCTGTTCCGACCGATTGATTTTCAACAAACCGATAACATTTCATATAAAAACATGTCCAGACGTGTCGTTTATCTACATTACTTTTACTATTTACTACGCTATATATACGGCATGTACTACATCATTTTAAAAACTACATGAAAAATATATATACGACAGCGCATAAAATGAATAATAATATACTGAATTATTTTCGTTAGGATCTTTTTATTTTGGTACCTGCCGCTTTTTCATCTTCACCGACAAGACTAATTGCACAAACTTTAAATCTCATCGTCGTTTCGCCACATTTCTACCGTTTTCACACACATACATAAAGTAATCACGATCATGACGTCAAATGTATCAGAATCGTATCGAGATATAACGCGCAGATTCTTTAACTTTCTAACAGTACATTCTAATATTTCTGCGATTTTATATTTACATAGCCGGGAAATACACAAGAAGATTTCGTACTACGTTAAAATCAAGATAGCAAAAAATCACTTTTACAGTTAAAGGTAACATCCCCTTCTTAACCTCATTTCTTCGACATGAAAATGTCTTCGAAAAGTTTTCGCGGTTTTACGATATTTGTACATCAAGCTAAAATACTTTAGAAAATATAGTGAGTGAGTGAGTGAGTGAGTGAGTGAGAGAGAGAAATACTTAGCTATTTCGATGAGAGAAAACAAATGTGAATTAAATCTAGTCGAATCCACTCGATGTCGTCAAAGCGCACTCGAAACAAGCATGATTAGAAGATTAAATGAAACGTGCTTATGTACGCCCGTTCGTAACAATGCTCGGTTTGCACGGCCGCGGTATGACGCACTTGGTACGAATTGAGATACAAGAAAGCCATTTTGACGGTTACAGACGTGTTACAACACGCACAGTTTCGCGATTGTAAGAACGCGATTAATTGCGATCCCGCTTACTAATTATTGCGACGCAACGATTACGCACCCGATACACTCCCATCCGGGGCATTACAGCTACAATTACTCACGCAGATTGTCCGCTTTCGGCCCGAAAATCGACGACGAATTCGCGCGAACCGGGACCACTTCAATCCCTGCAGCGCGCGAAACGAGACTAAAATGGCGGACTAGCGCAGCGACTCTGTGCGGTGTATCTCACGCGAAACTATCGATTATCGATCGGTGCGATCGATCGATGCAAGCGGACGTCGATCGATGCGGCGATCGAACATCGATTGATACGATCAAACATCGCGAACGAAATGGTCGATTAAACCGTCGTCGTGTTAATACATGATCTAACATACGATCGTTACTGCCTGATCACCGTCATTATCCGATCGTACGTACGTACAATTATACGTATCTCTTGGTTTCACAGCGGTTATTTCATTCTATATTCGCATCCTGCATCTCGTGATTCACGACCGCACGACCGACGCGACGCACTACAAACGAGTAAATAACCTAAATACATGCCGGCTTTTTCAACAGATACCGCGTCGGCGCAGAACGAGTGGCAGGACGCGAACGTTATTACGACTTGCGAAATCGCGAAATTACCGATTGATACGATACCTAAAGCGTTCGGCACTTTTGACGTCGATTCGTCACGCACGGGGATTATCAGCGACAGGTGAAAATCGCGGTAAGTACGGAGCGGCATCGCCGCGACGACAAACCGATGCGACGCATCGAGAAAAGAGAGATAGAGAGAGAGAGACGCGCAAAGATGGCGGCTTATCTCTCTCTCTTTCTCTCTCTATCCCTAACGCGCGCAGTGACATGCGCGCTGAACTTCACAACGTAGTATGAAGCGTCCGCACACTCTAGCCTCGTAAATATCGAAAGAACTAAGTATACTCCTAAGATGGCCTCGACGAAGACCGATGAGAGAGAAACGACGCCGCGGCCGGCGGGATTACGTACGTGGGTGTTGGTGCGGAACACACTGTGCGATTCGGTGATAAACTGTTCGTCGCGAGAGGTAAGTGAGGAGGGCAGTCACTTTGACATTTAAAAAAGAGATTAATCGGCGCAGGGTCGGGCTGTTGGATAGCGCGCTCTCTTTCTTTCTTTCTTATCTATTCCGCCGCGGCTGAGTTCTTTTGTTTCCGACAGACAAGTCCATTTGTCGAAATTACGTCTGTTCAAGGAAGCACGAGAGAAAGGGGGAGGAAAAGCGAAAACTAACCTATCGTTGACGACACCCAGGTTTCATGAAATTTCATCCGAGCTCCCTTGTTTTTATGCAGACCAAGCAAGTGAGAGAGAGAGAGAGAGAGAGCGGTCGGCTGTCGAGCCGCATCGAGCTATCCTAACGCTCCGTCGACTTTAAAGTTTCTAATAAAGGAACGAGAGCTTTTATATCGCGCCTCCGTACCAAAGAACGCTGAAACGCGACACCAGCGGTGTAGACGCCAATAGCGATCTCGATCTAATCTTCGTACGCTATCGATCATCGGGAGCATCCACCTTCCGCACCGCAAACGAGCACCGCTATAAATGTGATATACTCACCAAATATCGGCTCCGTCGAACAGCGGCGTCTAGGCGGAAAAATGAAGGAAACCGTGTCACGACTGTTCGTCACAAGCACTAAACCCAGTGTCATCAAATTGTCTCACAGTATCGCCGAGAAACGATTCTTCTAGCCGAAATTAAATTAGATATCGCGTTATCTCGAAACATTTACGTCGTATTATCTCGATTCTTACGTTGTGTTATCTTGGAACTCTCTCCAATGTATTTTAACACGTTCGCTGCCACGGGAATCGTAAAATGTTCCGCTTTAAGCTTTCCGTTTGGGCTGTTTTATGTATATATTTGCGTTATTTAAATATAATTTATCATAAAATATTTTGTATAATCATGTATTAGCATCGAGATATTATGCATATTGCAATTATCACGTCGTAAGGCGTAATGAGTTTTCAGACGTTCTTTTAAAAAATTCAATTCTATAAAACAATTTTTGCAAAGCTTGCTATAAAAATAATATTGAAATGTTTGATATAATATCAGCAAGGAATTCCATCGTAAAAGTAGTTATATTCTACAATGATTGTGAAGACAAGTATTCGCATTTACGTTTAACATGTTTCAGCATAATACATCACAATATGTCGTTATAATTATATTTTATTCGGAAATGTATTGTTTTTATTAAAATAGTTTTTATATAGTATTTTAAAGTTAAATATTAACAATATTAAAAATAAAGTTTTCTTTCCTTTCTTTGATATAAATTATATACATAGGAAAAAAGGTTTCTTTGGATTTAGTATATGTATTTGATTTGAATTTATTTAATATGAACAATATATATAATTCAATATCATATAATTTTGTTTGAACGAAAATGTTGTTTTGCTAGAGTAAACCATGTTGTTTGATAGAAAAAACAATGTTATTTAGAGGAAATAATATTTCTTTT